AATCGTTATTACATTCATAAAATGTGGCTCTGGTATTTGTATCAGTTTTCCAATCAGAAGATTCAGAATTGGATCAGAACTGCAAAAAGAGAAATTGGTCAATTTTCATACAGAGAAACAATTGAATTGGAACTGTCATCATAAAGCAACATTGTTGGTTGAGTTGTAAATGCTTTTTAATAGAGCTGATGATGAACTGAGGAAAATTAAAAGAAATGGCAAAGAATATTTATAAAACACTTTCCTAGTCTCAGTTCACTCAAAGTGCTTTAGGTCACATTCAGACATTCACACATACATTCATGCAGAGCTGCACTAACACACACATTAAGTATACAGCAGAGAAATTTGGGGCTTAGTATCTGGCCCATAAATTGCCCAAGGGCACTTCAACATGCAGCCTGGAGGAGTTGAGGATCAAACCACAACCTTTCGATGAGTGGACGACCCGCACCCCCTCCTGAGCCACAACCGCCCAAAACAGTTGGTGTATGACTGCTGGAAGCGGAGAGAAGTGAGATGTAGAGTGTGAAGACAGGATGAGAGGATGCAGAATACTAACCTAGGAATAGGTGGAGGGGGCATGTGAGAGAGAAGAGCCTCAGGGCAGAGGAGAAAAGGCAAGTAAATAGGAGTAAAAATTTGCAAAGGATGTGTGCAGGGAATGATAAGATTAGGGGGAGGAGGACCCCTGATTAGGAAAAGTGTTCATTAGTCAGCCACATCAACCCGCCATTGGAGCTGAGTAGCAGCAACTGGATCTGTTTAGGGTCGAGGACACTGGGGACTGAGTGAGCAGCTGAGAGAGCAGGCAGGGAGCCAGGACAGCACAGGCCTGACATGCCCACTTAGTCTGACATCAGTCAGAGGCAACTCTGCTGCTGCTGCTGCTGCTGCTGCTGCTGTTGCTGCTGCTCACTCCAGCGGGTCATTCCAGGGCCTAAGCAAGGAAAAGTTACTGTTGGATAGTCACAGATAACAGCTCACCGATCAGCACTGGTCACTGGTTTATGGAGTGGCTGACCAGACTGCCAGACAGGCCAAGATTCACATGTTTGCAAGTCTGTCTTATAATAATGAACTCATTTACCCATATATCAACTCTTTTTGTAAATTATAGAATTGTCTATAATCCTAGATATAATGATCATGATTCGACCTAATTGGTCACTTGACACATGCAGTTTGAAGACAATAAAATAGGTGATATATGTTAAAGCTTTCCCTGACTTTGCCCCGACATGATTGACATGTTATAGTGTTAATTGTAGAATGAAAAATGAGTTTTGTTCCAAAGTAATGAGAGTTTAACAGTCTGCTCGTGCAGTGGTGACAGCATAGCCATCGGCGTTCCATATCCTGCATCGCCATATGAGATCGTGGATATTTGTATCATGGTTTCTTATTCAGAATTGTGACACTCCTTCAGTCCAAGAGTTATGATAAAAAAATGAAAAGATAAAAGTTTGATGTGAGTGTTGTTTTATGACAGACTTGAAAAACAAACTTTAACCTGTCCTTGAAAAAAACCTCACATCTGATGATTTAATTTAATTAACCTGCTAATTAAAAAATATAAAATAAGAATATTAGTATATTAGCAGTTGAAAAAAAGAAGACAACATTTTTCAATAATCTCATTGGTGATATCCACATATTAAATTTCTGTCTCTTTGCCTTGAACAGCTCTTGTCATCGCTCATCAATTCTTACAACCTCCTTGGACAGGCTGAAAAATGCAGCCAAATTCTGACAGCCTCCTTCTAGCTCTGTCCATGCCTGCCTTTTTAAACCGTGTAGCCCACCTCCGCCCCACTGTGCCCACTTCCTCAGTGACCCAGACACCTGGTTAGAGCCTCTGATGCCCCCGTGTTCCCGTTTACAGCCAAGAACATCTTGCTGGCTCTGATCCAGAGTATGTGATGACAGGAAGAAGGGAAAGAGCCAAGAAAGGGGCAGACAGGGTTCAAACCAAAAAACAAAAAAAGACATTCATTTACAGGAAAAGGAGGGGGAGGTAAGAGGGCAAAGTGTGAAGATTTTGAAAAAGTAACAAATAACCAAAATAAATAAGAGGAAGAGAGGAGGAGAAAGGAAAAACTTTGAATGGACAAATTACCTTTGGAAGGAATTGGATTTCTGTGACCAGAAGCTGCTGGTTAGTTCTCTGTATGGTTGAGAGGAAGATGTGCACTGTATGGTATGAGAACCTGGGAGTGTGTTGTGTGTCTGTGTGTGTGTGTATGTACTAAGAGGTCCTGATGGGTGCAGGGAAAATTAAATTAAACTGCTGCTTAGACTCTGTTTGTGTGTGCAGAGTGCAGAATGGGGCACTGCATGAATCAAACAAGATAAAAACTCCTAAGCAGGAGGATCCACTTCATGCAATGGTGTGCACAGTATCTGGATGTGTGTGAATATTTATTTGTGCATGTGCGCTGTGTTTGGATGTTTTCTTGTGGCTTTTAATTGTCTTTGTTGTGTATTCAAATGTATAAAAATCAGAGAAATGCATGTGTTTCTGACCTCACCGGTGGTCTTTCCCTCAGCCTCACCCACAGAGTTTGCTCAGAGATGTTGAGGCCGGTAGTTGTATTGGCCTGTTTTCATGCACATGTGGGTGTGAGGTCAGTTGCATTCATGTGAGTGTGTCTATTTGGGATCTTATGTGGAATGTTGTCTGTCAGCTGAGCTCCTGCTCTTTTCAGAAGTTTCTGAAGACTTATACATTACTGCTGTTTTTTGATTTTCGTCATTGTGAGATACTGAGGAACTGCGGACAGTCACACTACACAGTGTGCTTACAGTGAGAGAGCAGTGCAGTCAAAGTCTCAGCCAGAGATGCATTCATTTTCACTTGTGGAGTTTATCAGTTTTCATCATATAAATCACTGCCACTTTAAAGTTCTTTTAGTTTTATTCAATAAAACCTTTTTTTTCCAGGTTTTCATCAGTGATGTTAGTCTCATTTTCTCAAACATTTTTAGTTATTATCTCTTCAATGCGTTTTGAGGCCACAGCTGGCATCTTCTTTGTGTACACTGTAGTTACCATGGTTACAGGTGTCACTCTGCTCTGCAGTAGTACAAACCGACTGCACCTCAGTAAGTCCAGTTAGTGTTTCTAACTCTGTGAGTCTGTTTGAACCAAACTGATACGTCAGATAAAATCGAATAGCATCAGAACAACATCAATAATAACAATATGATTTTCATCAAATGCAGTACAACAAAGTTCAATATTCATATTTAATACAGACGCAAAGGGGAAAACACATGATTGACCGACCTCAGACTTGAAACATGATTGGCTGTTTTCTTAATTAAAAACCACAACCTTCAATTCAAAGCAAAAATCGATAATGTGACATATTCATTGTGATAATTATTGATATGGACTGATATGACATTTTTATTTTGATATATTGTTTGGGCATATCATCCAACCAACTCCAAATATCACTGCAGCTGCCTGTGCTTTGTCCACTGCAGAGCAGAGAGTTCTTCAGAAGCTGCATTCACCCAGTGGTTTATTTAAATACTGTTTTGATATCATCAGATAACATCAGAAGGACCAATCCTGGAGCTCACTGAATTCCATGAACTTACGTACACCACTAAAATGAATGTTAGTCATCTAATTAGATTAGCATAGTGACATTAGCTCTTTCTTTTGTCATAGTTCTCATTTTCAAATGTTTCTTTTTACCATCATAGTTCTCATTAACTAAATTAAAAACACTGGATGTCGGTCAATGTTAGGCTCTTCCCTCAGCCAGCCAGTAGTCTTATATCTTTTAAAAAGCCAAAAGCACAGTGAGTGGAACAGAGATGAATGCTCAGCACGCACCAATGTGACCCAGCAAAAGTTTAAAAAGAGCACCAGCAAAGTAAAAGATGGATCTTGAATAGATGATCTTCAGAAAAATGCAAAAAGTAAAATTAAAGCAAGTGGATAGACAGGATGTTCTTGTAAGTTTGAAACTTTTAAAATGAATAAAAAAGATTGTGAAGCAAAAGTGCAAAATTATTTTGATCGACAATTGTATATAGTTGTAGTGTTGCAGGATGAGACAGATGCACGTTGTACTCCTGCTGAAGTGCTTCACATTCAGAAATCTGTCTCTTTAATCTGAGGCCTCCAGTTTTCCAGATGGGCCACAGCGTCTGAGATAATCAATGGGTTCTGACAAATGGCAGGGCACCTTCGGGTTACCGTGGGAACAGGGGGTCACACAGGTCTATGAA